AATAGTTCTACCTTGGATACTAGATTTGATATCCATAGTTAGAACAAAAAGAAAAACTTCCGTAACCAGAAAAGCCTATCTCTGTACCTAACACCCTAACAGAAAAAAAACACAGAGCTACAAGAGCCCTGTAACCCTTAGCAGGCCTTGGGTGGGCTTAGCGGGCCGTCGGAGCACAAGTGCCCGACCCTTACCACCGGAACAGCTAAAGAAACCTACTCAAAGTCGTTTCTCTTTGTGGCTGTAATGAGGCGTTCTCGCTACGCATTAATGCCGGATACTAATCCTCATTACTTGACTAAAACCCTAGCGTAAGAACAGATACTTTTTTTCTTTTGAAATAAGTTTATTCAACAATAAACAACAATAAAAAGCATAAAAATTACAATATAAACTTGATCTGTATCACAGCACCTGAAAAAAATAAAAAACATAATACAAACATACAATAAAATTTTGAATTTAGGTAGCAAACTACTTACCGCGCAACCGGCTGCGCTTCCAATTCCGAGACCCGACACTTTGGTCCATTTACAGGTCTACTCGAAGGAATTGAAAGCGCAAGCGGGTGCACAGTTTCATTTGCTAGAAACCAAAGAAGTTAAAATCAAATTTAAAAATTACAGTAAATATTGAATATAATTAAAAATTAAATAGGTAAGTAAGAAATGTAAGTTAGTCAGTCAGAAGGGTAAGAAATTCAAAGGTAAGTGAGTTAGGAAGGTAAGTCAAATAGGTAAGAAGGTCAAAAGGATAGATAGTGGAGTAAGCAAGTATTCCATAAAAAAAAACTGGCAAGTGTAAAGGGTCAGTAAAGAAATGAAACATGTATGTATTCCATATAGAAACAGGTACGTTAAAAAATAAGTAAGTATCCAAGAAGGATCGTGTAATCAAAAAAACGGGTAAGTACTGAAATACGTACGTACTCCTGAAGGGCAGGAAACCTGAAAGTTAATTGTTCGATTATGTAATGAGACATACAGGAAATAAAAGGGAGTTAAAAATTAAAATATCAGGTAAGTATCAAGTGAATCACAGATAAGTAAGTATCACAGATAAATATTGCAAATAGGTAAGTGTAAAATTCTATAAAAATTAAAA